AAAGATCTGCAAATCTCATCAAATTGAAACATGCAAAAACTCTCCTCCCTTTCATTCAACCAAAACTCTGTAATCATAGCACCTTATTACTGAGATTGATGTAGGTTTTGAAACGGAGAAGATGGCGCAAAATCGGAAACGTACTGGTAATTTGCTATATATTTCTTTTTTTTTTTAAATCGCGATTCATTGACGAAAGCCAGAGATTTGGAGCCTACAACCCTAGGTAATAACTTTGTTTTCTGAAAATAATATTTTTTTGTTTGTTTTTTATTTTGTTGTTTTTATTTTTATTTTGCACTTTGATGTTTATTATGTGTTTTGCACTTGCTATTGTATTGTATATTGTATTTTGAATCTTTTATTCAACTTTGGTGCCGTGTCAATTTTTGCAAACCTATTGTATTGTTGTTAGTTCTGTTGCAATTTTGAACATGTGTATTGCTATTTGAAATTTCAATTGGCACTTTGGCACTTGCTATTACAATTAGCACTTGGCACTTGCGGTTGCTGTTTCAAGATACGCATTTCATGTTATATTGTGCAATTCATATACATGGGTTTTATTGGTTGACTTGTGGTGCAATTTTTTGTATTAATTCAACAGTTGATTCGATAAAGGGAAAGAGAAAAGTAAATGAATCAGCGGAGTCTTCAAAGGGAGGAAAACAATACAACATAACTCCGTAATTTTTTTTAGGAGCCGACACCGATTCGGTTTCAACATCGCCGCAACAGAAACCAGAATCAGTTGTTTGTGGGATGTTTGTCTTGTATATTGCAAGACAATTCTGCATGCAACAACCGTTAGTGAAAAAAACTGCAGAAGCTGGGATCGTTGAACTCCGAAAAACTTTAGTTCATCTCTTCTTGAACGATGAAGACGCTGTTGATTTTGATTAGAAAAAAAAAATGCGACATTTACTTTGTGTTTTGCAGAACTATGTTTTTTAAGTTGTGGCATTGAACTTTTGCAGGCTATTGATATGAAATATAATCTAATATATTCCAAACTTAGACGCTATCTTGTGTATTGGTTTTGCTGGTGAATTTGTAACATATTATGTAGTTCAGTAATTAGTTACAAAAACAATATATTAGAAGTTGGTTTTGTTTTATTCTGCTTTTATATTTTGCATTTTGCAGTTTAAATTTCAATGCATAAATTAAATGCAAAGTGCAAAATGATACAATTTTGTTCATAAAAAAATAGCAAAGTGCAAATGATACGATAAAGGGGGCATAAAAAATTTATCCGTAGGCTCATACTTTTGACCAATTTATCCGTTTGTAATATTCAGCATAAAAAAACTTGTCAATATAGTCATATGGTTCTGTCGTCTCGTTCACCAATACACACACCGCATGAACACAAGGAAATCCAAGAATCTGCCACTCTCGACATGTGCAAGTTTTTTGCGCCAAGTCAACAACCATAGACGGGTTACAAGGAACTTCAAAAATATTGTCAGCGGCCTTCTCAGGCTTCCACGACCTGCCTTCAAGTTCAATATCTTGCAAAAAAAATTCCTTCTTAGGGCAGCACACAGATGACCAATTAGCTGTTTTATCTCTTCTCTTAGGGCAGCACATAGATGGGCCAACACAAATTTCATCAATCACAAATTTCTCAACATACTCCATCATGACGCCAACATCGTCGTCATCCGCCAACATACATTCCCCGTGATTTAACAAATTGTATGTTAACGTAAAATTACCAGGACATAAAGTATTCCACTTCAAGCAAACAAAATTAACTAAACACTTATATCTCGAAGCACCCGACAATTTTTTTACTGTTACGAAACCATCGAACTTAAATACCAATTTAATTGAACACGGCAAACTGCAAAACGAAATTAACAAAAAAAAACTCAAATATGCTATGGATCGACCAACAAAGAAAAACGATAGTAACCAACAACAAAACAAACCTGTTGACGTACCTCCTCTTCATGTTGATAGCAATATGAAAAAACAAAAATATACCTAATTGCATTAGATTTCACGAAACTAAAGCCATAGAATTCTAAGATCTTATAACGACGAATGATTTATTTAATTCTACCACGTCTGATAAACTCCCGATATTTTGTTTTTCAACCCACGTCTCATAACTCCCTTCCAAATCTAACAACGTGATATTTGGGATTTATTCAATTTAATTTACTGAATTAAATGCTTCCGTAATTAAATAATTTATTGTGAAGGGTATTTATGTCCGTAGGCTCATAATTTTAATTAATTTAATTAAAAAATTTGGTCAAAGGGCCTATAGCTATACTAATCTAAGAGATTGGACTCCTAGCCATATAAGTTTGAAATAAAGGGGGTATAGCTAATTATCCCTTATTCTTATTCTTATTATTATTATTATTATTATTATTATCATCATCATCATCATCATCATCATTATTATTATTATTATTATTATTATTATTATTATTATTATTATTATTATTATTATTATTATTATTATTATTATTATTATTATTATTATTATTATTAGTTTTGGTAGTAGTAGTAGATAGGGAAATTGGGAGGAAAGAGAGTAGATATTAATGAGGAGAGAGAAATGAGAGGAGAGAGAGTGAGAATATTAATGATGAGAGAGAAATGAGTTGATAGAATAAAATATATAGGTTAGCAGTAAGTTTGAGTAGGTTTGAAAATTGAAAAAAATATGAATAGTGCATTTTCAATAGAAATTTGATAAGGAAAAATGGGATTTTTCTGGATAAAATTGTGAAACAAACATAATCTCAGTTTTATGAATAGTATAGAACTGGAAATTGGTTTTGGAAATGAAACCAAACGTCCCCATGTTTGATTTGATAAGAATCGAGCCGAGCTCAAACAAGCTTTAATCGAGCTGATATCTTGATATTTTTTTACATTTTTAATTATTTTTTAGGATTTTTCTTCTTCTTTTATATAATACAATTTAGGGCTAATTTCACTCACCTTCCCAGTACTAAATTGCAGCATTTACTTACATCTCCTCTACGATAAAATTCTTCAATTACCCCCTAGATTGCATGTTATACCGATTATACCATTTTTCTTTTAAAAAAAATTAAGACAAAACTCCTTGTTTCATTATTTTACAAACTTAATTATTTTCAATTTCATAATAAAAAAAATATTCTACTATATATAATTTATACTCATTTCATTTTTATTTTTTATTAACTTTTGCTTGTGTTTGTTTAATGTTTACTTTTTGTGAACTCTCTAACCATGTTTTTCATCTAACTGATATTTGTTCTAAAGATAAGTAAATTATAAAATATCATAACGCTCAGAGTGAAATATTTTTTACTCAATAATTTTTCTATTGTTTATTCGAAAATCTTTACAATGATATGTACTATTTAAATTTTATCATACATCTTAAAATTTATTTTCTTTAGGTATATAAAAATGTCATGGCGTATTATTTTGATAACAACTAATAATGAACCATTACATAAATTATATTATAAAAAAGATAAAATCCCATACTTGACATTAATTAGATGAAAATTTAAAATTAATTTATATGTTCAACTTTATGATAAAGAAAATAAATATATTTTTATTATGGTTTCTTGTTATAATTTAATTTCAAGAGAAATGTTTCTTTTCTATAAATCAAATGAAAAAATAAATGAATAGAAATTAAAAATTATCCATAATTAAACGAGTACGTAAAATAATGGCAGACCGGAAGTAGAACAAAATTATTATTGAAAATAAATAGGGAGATATTTATCTTTAAAAAGGGTATAATTGGTACAATATATAATTTTGAGGAGGGAGTAAAATTTTTGATAGTATAAGGGAGGTAAGTGAATATTTCTCACAAGTACAGGGGAGCTTATTGAAATTAGCCATACAATTTATAGCATTTTCCACACAATTTAGTGAAGTTTGTCCACGTAGATAACATAAACTCAAATTTACAATCTAACAAATCTATCTAAAAATTTAATAAAAGTTTGGATGTAAAACAAGAAAATGAAAAAAATAAAATTTATGGGATCTCTGATTGTGCAGAGAATATGAGAAATAAAAATTGAAACAAGGAGGAGAGAATTCATAGATACATTAGGGACGGATGAGATAAATAAAAACAAGTTATTTTAACATTTAAATAGAATATTAAAAAGTACAGGGGTGTGGATGATAGGGGGTAATTTTGTGCAATTGAGTAAAATAGGATCTAAATGGAATATTAAAAAGTACGGGGGTGTGGTGAAAGGGGGTAATTTTGTGAAATTGTGTATAATAGGTTGAATGTATAATATAAAATAAATACCAAAAACGCTTAACATCTAAATGGAATATTAAAAAGTACGGGGGTGTGGATGAAAGGGGGTAATTTTGTGAAATTGTGTAAAATAGGATCTAAATGGAGTATTAAACAGTACGGGGGTGTGGATGAAAGGGGGTAATTTTGTGAAATTGTGTGAAATAGGATGTAAATGGAATATTAAAAAGTACGGGGGTGTGGTGAAAGGGGGTAATTTTGTGAAATTGTGTGAAATAGGTTGAATATATTATATAAAGTAAATACCAAAAACGCTAGAAGGAGGGGTCGAACCTCCGACCTTGTGGTTAACAGCCACACGCTCTAACCAACTGAGCTATTCCAGCTTGTTGTTATATTTCGAATAATATCATATCTATATTATCTTTAAAGCATAATTGCAGCACGACTTTAGAAGGCGAGGTACACAGGAAAATTGTCATTTCATTAATAGAGGGTGTTTGAATAAGGTTATAAGATGTTAAAAAAACTTATAAGCTCTTTCAAAGTGTTAGGAATTTTTTTTAAAAAGATTTTTTTTTTTAATAAGCTGTTGAAAAGCAAATAAGATCTTTTTTTTATAAGTACCTCTACCTCACATTTAAGATTTTATAATAAATAAAAATAGCAAATAAACTCATTAAACACTTTAAAAATTAATACTAAAAATAAGATGTAACAGCTTATCAACTCTTAAAATATCTTATTAGCCATAAAAGCTTATCAATTATTTAAAATAAGTTTAGCCAAACAGCCCCAAGTGACAAAGAGAAACACAAGTACAACTCCAAAAAATTTCTATAAACAAATCACACTAATATATGACCAAAATTTAGTCACTATGGATCAAAACCTATCCTATGAGTAAAAAAAAAAAAAAAAAAAAAAGAAAAAAAAAGAAAAACACAAGTAGCTGTAAAATACAAAACTATACATAATAATTAATACTAATCAGAGCTTTGTTCAAGCAAAATATCTACACACACAAAAAAAAAAAAAAACTAAGGCAATCATAATATCTTAACCATGAAACCAAGCAAACTAAATTTGGATTAGATTGTTTACTATCTTTTCTTCTTTCCGCCGAACGCCCTTGGTTTCGAGAACAATTTCCCGAACAACCCCGGTCGTTTCGTAGGGGCTTTTTCGTCTTTACACTGTTTTTCTGCCAACAAGACAACACCAACTTCCGCTGCGGGGATTTCTTCGGCGGTCGTATTATTAAACTCGTCTTTCAAGATCCTCAACAGCTCCATAGCCATCGCCTTCGCCTTCTGATTCCCGTTAATCGAAACGGTCACGAGTCCCGGGATAACTCCCTCTTCCATCACCAACTTACAATAAGGACCGCAGTTAAGGCACAAAGAAAGAAGCACGCTAACCGCGCATTCTTGATCTTCTAAATCGTCTTTCTCGAGCAGTTTCGCGATTAGATCGATGCAGTTTTTGCTCTCGGCGATCGAGATTCTAGCGTCTTCGTTCCCGGACACGTTCTTGAAAATGGCTATGGCGTACCTCGCCAGAGCGTCGTCTTCGAGGAGCGGAACTAGCTTCGGGATGAAATCTGAGGGAGTTGCGATTGCTTCGTTGCTCGAGGACAGATTCGTCAGTATTTTTAAGGCGGGTTCGAGCAAATCTTGAATTTTGCCGTCGAGGATGTTTAGGATTGCAGTGAGGGCGCCCGATTGTGCGATTTTTTGACGGCAGCTTTTGTTGGAGGAGAGCGCCCCGAGTATGTTGAGGGCTTGTTTGGAGAATTGCGTGTCGAGGAACGATGCCAATAGGGCGTAGTCGTCTTCCTTAATGCACGGTATATTGTTTCTGTAAATAAAATACGGACGGGTCAATAATCAGAAACATATACTGTACTCCATTTGTTTCTTTTTAAGTGTCGTTTAAGGTAGATGCACAATAATTATGAAAACTATTAAATAGTCCTAATTTTCGGGAAAAAGTCGTTATTTTACCAAATTATCCCCTTTGTGGCTTTACATCTTTTCTTTCTCATTTCATTACTCCATTATCAATGTTGGGGTAAAACTGGAAAAAAAATAATTAATTCTGGATTGAAACTTTAAAGTGACACTCTACCCTTATTAATTCAACTCTATCAAACATTAGCGCACTCTTATAATTTCATTAAATAGTAAAGGTTATTTTAGTCTTTTTCACGTGTCTTTCCTAAAATTAAACCATATTTAACGACTTTCTTAATATGTGTATAAAAAGTAAAAACCTTAAACAACAGTTATTACGGAGTAGATAAAGCATGGTTCAACGGCGGAAAGAAAAACATGTATATAAATTACCCGTGTTTCTCCACAAATTCGCACAATAACACGAATCCAGTCATTTGCGCTTCCACGTCAATACGATCGCGCGCATCCTTCAAAAACCGAAGGATTAGGTTAACGAACTTTCCGAAAGGAATCACCGACAAAGATCCGTCGTCGAGTTCGAACACCCTTTTCAAATCCCCAACCGCGTCGCACTGAGAATCCCAAGGGAGCGTACTAAACTCGGAAAAAATCGCCGGATCTATTTCACGGGATTTTTTCACGTCGTTTCTCATCTTGGTGTACGAAAGATCCGAATCCGGACCCAACCCGAACGACACATTGCTATAATCCGACGGTAGATATAAATCGTTCATCGAGCTCGTCATGCTGACGATTGAATTCGTCGGAGTCTCCCACGAATTCCTAACGAGGGATTCCTGATATTGAGGGTCGGGAACTGACAAATTATGGGCAGTGCACCATTTCGTGATTAGGTCTTTGATGCCCGTATTTGAGGTGAAGGACAAATCGGTCAATTTCCGTTTCGTCTTGGGGCAAATGTCGTTGCCCTCGTCGAACCATTTTTGGATCCACATTCTCTCGTACGTTTGACCCGAAGAAATTACGACAGGGTCGTACATTAGCCTCGAAGACAACGGGCACATGAACTCCTCGGGGGGTACGGGCCTACTCAAGACTTGGACGTTCGGCCCGTAACCCACGCGGAGCTCCACTTCGCCCGGTAAGCTATACGGGTTCGAAAACGGAAACGGGTCTTCTCGATCCGAAAACCCATCTTGTTGATTTCGATCGTTACCGATGATTTTGCCGTATTTATTGAGGAGGTTGAGGAGGAATAGTAGGATCTTTTTCTTGCTCGGTTCGCTCTCGCCGAACTTATCGATCAGCCTTTTGATGGATCGTTTTTCAATTAGTAGAGATGTTTGGGATGAAATGTGAAGATGGGATGAAACGGTGTGTATAGCGGAAAGCGCAGCTTCTTCGGTTGAATCGACGGTGGAACCGTATCTATGGAGTAATTCCCGAAGTACCCTTCCAGCTTCCTCCTCGATTGGCTCCAAATGAAATCGAACACTCCTAAGATCAGCAATAATTCCGGATATCTAAAACAAATAAAATGGTAAAAAATTATGTCAGAATATTTTACAAGATTTTTTTAATATATATAATATATAAAATAAAATTTTATTTCGTTATTACCTTAGCGGCAAGCATCACCGGAACCATATTTTGAATTTGACAGAGACTCTGCTCCAACAAATTCCTCGATTTTTTACATCTCGACAAAATAGCTTCTCCGGTAAGTGCCTGAAAAATATTCAAGATCATTGTAAAATTCAAATTGTAGTATCGAATACGTTCAAAAAATTATTGTTCAAGCGATGTTATTAATTAACAGAGTATTAAATTATCGAGGTTCTACTTCTGCATTACGATATGTGTTTCGTTACAAAATTATGCTCTTGATCCGATGATAAATTATCCAGAAATAATACCAAACGAAATACTCGGAAAAAAATTCGAATTAAATTTAGGATTGGAATAAGTTATATTCGATACAAAACAATTATCGAAAACAGAGTAAGGTGCATACCAAATAAAGTACACTGGACTCACTGCAGTGCTGTAGCAAAGACTTGGCTTTGACGATACCATTGTTTAATAAGCAAAGTGCGTCGATTCCCGAGGAGCAACCGGGCCGGGCCCCTTCTATTTCGGGAAATATTCTCGATACCCTAATGACCGCTTGTAATAGTTCCGAACACATTCGAGCATGCACCTGCAATCGTATCAAATTTCGAGTTTTTAACCCAAAAAATGATGATTTTTTTTCCCCCATATTCTATTGAACAAATCGTTACGAAAGTATATAAACGGGACTAGATAAGATATTAGTTTTGTACCTTAATGTTTCTGGCTGATGGCAGTCCGTCGACAACTTCGGCAATATGATTTCCCATTGGCAAAAAAACGATCGTCTCGAATTCAAAAAAAAAATGAAAAAAAATCACCTGCAAAAGAAACATAATATTTTATATATAAGCCAAATCTTTATTCATCAAGTGTGACAAAATCTTTTCGGAACATATTTTCGGACATTCCCCGACTTGCCGTAAACGCAGTTTCTATACTAACTATCTTCGATTCTTTGAGCAATATAACTATTTATTTCTTCATTAAGAATTTATTATTATGAATTTGAAACCCTTTGCTCAAATCTTTTAATTCTAAATGTAACCAAAGATTTGTTTAAACAAGTGACCATCACAATAAATCAATAAACCCATTCATATATCATATAAATATGTTTATTTAGCATTCTTTTCTTTTCTCTTTCTTTTAGGGTGTTAATTTAGCATTCTGTTTGTCAAAAAAAAAAATCATAAACACATCACTAAAAATCAAATAAAATTGGCAAAATATGAATCTCAATTATGAAAAAAAAATTCAAAAAAAAATAATAATATTTAAAAAAAAAAGAAAAAAAAATAGACATGGAAATCTCTTACCTTGAGAAAAAGAAGAACATCAGATGATGATTTTTTTCCCACAAGAAAAGAACAGCTTCACCAAAAGGACAAGAACTATATAAACTCACAACTGCTGTAATAAGCAAAACAACCTTAACAAAAAGACTCCACCTTTATCACATAAAAATCCAATCTTTAGCAACAGAATTCAAGAAAACCCAGAATTTTTTATTTTATTTTTTATTTTTTTTTGGGTTATGGTGTTAGAATCAGAATTAAAGCATCCCACCAAACAATTCAATTTTAGCAACCCATTTAATCATTCAAGTTGCAACCCAATCCAAATGGAAAATAAATGAATATCATGTTGTGGGTCACCTTACTTTTGAAAGAGAAAAAAAATGAATGCAGAGAGAGAGAGAGAGAGAGAGAGAGAGAGAGAATTGAGAAAGAGAGAGAGAGAGAGAGAGAGCTGACTATCCTTGAATGGTTCTTTGGGAATTAAAACATTTTGCAGTGAAAAGCAAAACCATTATAGGAAAACAAATAAAATTAAAATAATAAAACAATAATACCTATGCTTACTTTTCAATTTTTTTTCTACATGAAATTTTATGTTGGTAATTTACGTAGGTAAGTTACGCCCAACTCCTGAGATAAAGTTAAATTAAAAGATAGACCTGTTAAATTTGAGTGATTACAATCGTCCATCGATTGTGAATCTTCTTATACGTCCATTTTTATGGTGTCAAATTCAAAAAAATCTTCTATTGTTTTCTAGTTTGTACTCGTTTTATGCAAAAATGCAGTTATCACAATCTGATATTTATAAGCCAATGACATATTTTATGATCATCTTGTTTTCAAATCTGGAACTTGAATAGGAAAAAACATGTCTAAACTAGAGAATATTCCATATAATCTAGAAGATTCCACTAAATTTGATCTCAAAAGAATGAATATGTAAGAAGATTCATGTCGGTTTAATTACCAAACATGAGAGATTTTTTTGTAATTTGACCTTACTTCAGAAGTGGTCGTAATTTATCCATTTTTGTTTTATTTTCACATGAAACTGTTTTTGTAGTGTGAACAAGAAATCATTTTGGCAAATAGTTGGAGGAGCAAAAGCAGGTTAGTCCAAATGTGGTAGTCAATTTTTCAAATTAAGAAATTAAAAAAAAAATATGATTCTTCATATGAAATATAATAGTCTCTATCCCACTTTAAAAAAATCCCCTGATCTGATTGGTCATTAAAATCTTGAATTTTCGTCAACTTTTTTTTAATATTTGTTTCAAAGAATAAATATAATTCCCAAAGAGAAATAAAAATATAAATAAATAAAAAGGTAGGTGGACCATGATTGGTTGACCAAAAGCAGCTGAATACAGATGATATATCATAGAAGCTACAAGGAAGGAAGAGATAAAACCTTTTGATCGAACAATGTGGACCCCACTTTGATGCTGAAATCCCACTGCTCTTCAACTTTTGGCTAGCAACATTTGTTCTTGGCCCAAGTCCAAGAACCACCGGTTGCTTATATATTTCTTTCACTTTGTTTTTTTCCGATATAAATCGAAATCGAAATCGAAATATTACTTCAAAACTCGAAATTCGAAACCCAAATATCCGAAATCCGACATTTCGATCTCCGTTGATTTTAATTTTAGAATCTTAATTTTGTTGTAATATTTGCGCACGCTTTGGTTGTCGGATATTTCTTATCCTCTCAAACTAAATAGGGATAGACAATGGGTACGGTTTTGCAGAGTTTTAGACAAGGAACAGACCCGTTTGGGACGGGTCTGGATAAGTTAGATGGTTGATGGATTTAAGTTTCTAGAACCGGATGGTTCTGGGTCGGATTACGGATCGAGCGATATATATATATATATATATATATATATATATATATATATATATAATATTATTATTAAAGAATTCGCTAAGATAATTGGTGAATTATTTGGATTTTTAATTTAATCAATTTTTGAGTTTATCAAATGTTTTGACGAGATTAGTTATATTTCTTATATTCATTGTTATTTTTATTATTATTATTATTATTATTATTATTATTATTATTATTATTATTATTATTATTATTATTATTATTTTCTTCAATGCTTTTGATAAGTTGGTTCAAATATATTAAATATACCAGATATAAATAAATTATAAATAGTTGGGTTAAATACAGTTTACACTCCTAAAGTATACCCTCTCTAAAAGAATAATTAGATTATACAAATAAAAATATTTATTGAAAAATGCAATATTTAAAAATTTAAAAATGTTATCTTGTGTTGGATACATATTTAATAAATGACATCTAATTGTTATTGGAACAAGTAATCAAATATATTCATATCTAAATTTTAAAAAATCAATACATAGCTAATAGTAATCTTAAGCATTCAAATATATTTTAGTTCATTAATTTCATAAATTATATTTTCATTCATTATTATACAACATATATTACTTTTTTTTCCAATAATTTAATTTTTTAGTTTTTATTTTTATATTACTTTTTATTTTTTATAATCCAATAATTATTAGATTGTTATGTTTATTAGTTTTTAAATTTTAAAATATAAAATAGTTGATGTTGAGGGGTAAGTGTTACAAATGATACTTTAGGGAGTAAGTGTACGTAAGCTATACTTCAGGTGTGCAAAGAGTATTTAACCTTAAATAGTTAACTGAAAATTAATCCATAATAAAAAAAAAAATCAATTTAAATTACTTGATGATGCAATGAAATATATATTTATATTTAAATATTCAATGAAGTATGACTTTTGACCACCTTTTCGCTCCGTCAAGTATTAAATTTCGGGTATCCACCTTGCCTACGTTGAAGGATGGCAATTTAACACGCCCCACCTTACTTCGAATTTATCGCATATTCTCTGACCCGTTTATTAATAGAATGAATGCGGGTTTTAAAAATTTCACCCGCAATGGGTGCGAATGGGTTTTGAATATATGTACCCTTACCCGTCTCATATCCAATTCACCTACATATTTTTATTAATTTACAACTTTTTATATTATAAAATACTATTTTTTTAGAGATATTTTAAATAAAAACTATAAATATATATTACATAATAAATTTTTTATGTGTATGTGACAGGGCGGGTACCCGCTGCTTTTAAACGAGGCGGTGGGCGGGTATAACAAAGTTACACCCGAAAGGGGTACGAGGCAGTGGATTTGCTAGCGGGGCGGGTGCAGGTTTTCGAAAACACGCGCCATGGCCATCCCTATCTACGCTAGATAATAATTTGGCAACCCAATCTCCCATCTAATTTTTCATTATTTGTTTTGGAAAATATAGATAATGTTTGTTTCGTTTTTTGTTTCAGTATTATTCTCTCGCGAAATTTAGATATTGTTCAAAAGAAATTTCCAAAACTTCTAAAGTTTCTCTCTTCTCTAAACATGATTTACCTGCTACAGTAAAAAAATTGCATTCACTAAAAAACAAACAAACATCATTTTATTTCAAATTCTTGGTCTAAAGACTAAAATACATTTAATTTAACAAATTTAAACATGATTTGATTGCTACATTGTATTTTATCCGCTCCCAAATCATAAATAACCATTATTTCATTCTTAAATTATTCTCTAAAATGGATGTGATAAATGTCGTTCGAGTTTTAATAATACCGTTTCGACTTCAAACGTGATTTTGATCATTTTTAATTCAAAATTTTGCAAAAACCCGAAAAATAAAATTTGTAATATTCTGAGTTATTTATCTAATCCAACTTGAATCATCAAAATTGGATGTCGGACGAGAAATATATACATGAATCAATGGATACTGCCCACAACTTTGATGTATTGAGGTATCTAAAATTCAAAATGTGACCCATTCATGCATAATTTTGTCACACGGTATTCAATCTAGCGGATTTAAGTTGGATTAGAAAGCTAACCCAAAGGACTACAATTTTCGTGTTTCGAATTTTGCCAAAATCAAAATAAAAATATGTCAAAATGAGGTTCGAAGTCAAAACAACATTAGTAAAATTGAAACGACATTTAACATTTCAGTCTCTAAAATCATGTCTTTCCTAAACTAAAATGAAAATAACTCTGAGAACCATTCCAAAAACATATTTTTCCCTTAAAGCCAACAATAAAATAGAAAATTTAGCATTTCTTGGTTATTTAAATGTGAAAATTAGAAGGGCCACTTGAAAGTTAACATTATTGTAAAATTATCATTTTTTTAACATAAATTTAACTCGCATTAAGATCACTAAAGTAGAAATTATAAAAATTAATAATGTGAAATTTCGAGTAAACATTTAAATAAATTATTTTTTTTCTTTTTATTTATTTATTAATTTATGATTTATAAAATTTGTAAAGAGAATAATTTGTAAAGAGAATAATTTGCAGTTTTCAAAAGTTGAAACTTTTATTGAAATGCTAATTTTTTGTTTACCCCTCCAATTTTTACTCATAAACATAGAAAAATAATTATCGTTTAGAACAGGTTGATGCCAAATTTAAACATTTGTGGTGTAGCTGTCAAATGGTCATAGTTCGGGGAAGTGAATGCAAATTACCAAATTTGAGTTACATTGTAAACTAAATTTAGTGAAACTTGTTAATGAATTTAAATTCTTTATGTTACAAATCCTTCAATTTAATAATTTTAAAAATTAAACTGATGCTAAATGTTTTTTCAGTGTTATGGGTATCTTTCATACATTTCTTTTTCTCTCTCTAAACATTTTGTTCTTTCAGTTCTCTCTTAAAATCAATTCAAGAGCTCTAATTAAATTGAATTTATGGATTTTCCTCTTTTACTAAAAAAACCAATAAATGTATATTTTTATTAAATTATGGTAGAAAAATATAGTTTTGCGAGAAGTCTATAACAGGCAATAAGTC